TTTGAAACCATGGGGAAACAATTGAGGAAAATTGGACCTACAGGTACACGGATCGATGAAGGGGGGGAAGGTTTGCCAGCTCAAATGAGCCCATCAAAACACAAGGTTGAAGTACAGAAGTTAATTGATGCAATCCAGCTTCCCAAACGAGTGGCAATAATGAAGTGCAAAGGTCATAGCAGAGAAAGCACCAGAGTGCGTGAAGGAAATGATCGGGCTGATCAAGCAGCAAAGGATGCAGGAGGATACACTGCCCAGCAGATGGTGCAACGAGCCACTCAAGGACAGGAGGAGTTGACGACAGACACAGTAAGACAGTTGCAAGAAGCAGCAGGCGCCTACGAACAGAACGTATGGAGCAGACAGGGAGCAAGACAAGACCATCATGGGATTTGGAGATCTCACACAGGAAAAAACAGTGGGACCTGCAAAACTCCTCAGATCAATCTTAAGGGAAGAGCATGAGAAGGCTCATGGAGGATGGAAAAGTGTCGCAAAATCAGTTGAGAAAGCATGGTGGCATCCACACATGTTGGACATGGCAAGAGAGACATCAGAGAGCTGTGAAGTGTGCAAACAATACAACAACAAAGTGTCACTTGGAGCAGTGATTGGCAGCTTCCCAATACCTGACGCGCCATTTCAAGACATTTGCATAGATTTCACGGACATGGGACAGGACAACAGAGTGGAAGGAAAAAGATACCTGTTGGTAATGGTTGACAGATTCACCAGATGGGTGGAAGCCATCCCCACAGCAAGAGAAGATGCAAAGGCTGTGATTAAATGGCTGAGGAGGGACCTCATTCCAAGGTTCGGGGTCCCGCGAATGGTCCGTTCCGACAACGGTACACATTTCAAGAACAAACACCTGAGGGAGGTAGAGCAGGCCCTAGGAATCACCCACAAGTTCGGGTCAGTATACCACCCCCAATCGCAGGGACTCGTAGAGAGAGCTAACCAATCGCTGAAACGAAAAATGGCCAAAATCATGGCCGGAACTAAACTGAAGTGGGTAGATGCGCTGCCCCTAGCTCTAATGTCAATGAGAAACTCACCTGGGTCTGACACCCATTTAACGCCCCATGAGCTTATGACAGGACGCAGAATGCCAGGGCCACCAGCAGACAATCTTAGTATGCCTAGGCTAGATATTGCAAAAATCAGATACACAGACTACATGCAAGCGCTAATTTCTCTTGTTGAAAGATTGTCTAAACAGGTGGTGGAAGTGCGCACTCCTGCTGTTGAAACCACGGACGAGAACAGAGACATCCTGGTGGGGGATTGGGTGAGAGTGAAGGTGCATTCCAGAAAGTGGACGGAGCCAAGGTGGGAAGGGCCCTTCCGGGTAAAAGAGGTATCAAGCCACTCGTTGCGGGTGAACACGAGCAAGAAAGACGTGTGGTACCACAGGACACACTGTGCCAAGGACATAGTTCCAGGAAGGACTCTAGATCAGGTACAACAGGACTTGGCAACAGAAGGGGAGTGATGATGATGTTGTGGTTAGGAGTGGGGCTCGCCTTATGGGGAACAGTGTTCTCAGCTCCCAATCAGTACCATAACATAGTCATTACCTTACAGGAAGGGGAATCTCAAGTGATGTCCCTAGAACCATGTAAGATCTGGTCATGGAGGAATAGGGCTAGTGGAATTGGGGACACTGGTTGCAATTGGAACCAGAAGGGAAACTGTAACAAAATGAATCCCCATGTGTTAAAGAGAGGTACTTATCTGTGTGAGGGAAAGTGGTGTCCATATTGGGACTATATGATCACAAATGTTGGCACCTTCTGGGAATGGCGTAGAGGCTATCCGTATGCATTAGGAGATGCTTCTAAAGCAGCTAGGTTTTCAATGATAAGGGGTGTACAGGGGTCAAAAGGGGGTGCATGTAAAGGTGATGAAATCCTACTAACCATTCAAGACATTAAACTTACAGACGCAGGTGTGTACACCTTAGCAGCAGTACGATCCGGACCAGACACCATGGGTATGTTCACCATCGCAGTCACACCCAAACCTGCAGCTGGGGAGAGACAGACCCAGTTGGACCACACCCCCGCTCCAGGACCAGCTCAACTTCAACCCACTAGGGTACCAAACCCTGTTCAGGTGATTAATGTTAGGGATATAACGGACAGCGACCAATTGGGGACAGAAACTGGCTATGAAGGGAAAGAAAATATGTGGTTGGCATACATGAGGTATACGGCTAGGACACTGGCCAGGCAGAATTGTGTTATCTGTGGGCATGCAAGACCTGGGTTGGCAACCCACCCATTCGCTTTAGGAGAAGGGGAAGGATGGCAGTGCATATTGGAAGAGTTCTACCATTCACTGCCAAACACCACCCTGTGCAAAGCCCTAAGTTTGATTTTCCCTGAGGTTCCCCCACAAAAGGCACCTGAGGGAGTTCAGGCTTATGGAGGTAATTACAGTTGCATTACTGGAACAGGTAAGGGTGTTAACTATGGTAGGCTACCACCCGGGGATTGTGCTGTGAATGTAACCATGAACAGCACTTGGCCAATAGAGGGTAAAACCCAGACAAAAGGGGTGGCTGATGTGTGGTGGATCTGTGGACCAAATAGAAAACTAACCCCGATTCTAAAGGGGGACTGGCAGGGCACGTGTGCATTAGCTAGTTTAATTATACCACTGACCATTATTGATGTTTCCTCAGACCAACTTTTGGGGATTGCCCAGCTAACCCCAGACAGAGAGAGAATGAGGCGGGGGAGACGTAGTGCCCCATGGTCAACAGAAGAGGAGATCCACTCTAACCTGTTGGGGGTGCCTGTGGGAGTACCATTACAGTTCCAGGCACTCAACAGGAACGATGGGTTGTGGCATCTGTTGCCAATCATAGGTCCTGCCATAGATGCTGCTAAACAGCGATCTTGGATAAATTACATATATTATAACCAACAGCGATTTGTTAACTACACACGCACTGCCCTGACTGGAATGTTCGAACAACTAGAGGCCACCTCTAGGGTGGCTAGGCAAAATAGACTAGCACTTGACATGTTGCTTGCTAACCAGGGGGGTGTTTGTAAGATGTTTGGGGAACAATGCTGTACGTTTATTCCTAACAATAATAGCCCTGACGGGAGCATAACAAAGGCCCTTGTTGGCCTGGAGAAGTTGTCAGCAGAAATGGAGAGCATGGCTGGAGTGGGGAGTGGTGGGCTGTTCTCCTGGCTGAGTGACTGGTTTGGTGAGTACTCTTCTATGGTGGTTACTGGATTTCTGACCCTAATAATTGTGTTTTTGCTGTTAATGTGTTGTGCTGCTTGCATCGTCCCCTGTCTCAGGAGGTCAGTGGTAGGAGCGGTGCAGGCGTCAGGTATGATGCTGTTGTTACCGGCCCAGGATGATGCGGGTGACTCTGCTACTGACTCTGAGACCAAGCTGGATGATCCATGGTTTGCCTAGTAAAATACATACACGCATTTATTTTCAGTTCTTGCTCATTTATTACCTTATGTTTTTACTAACCACTGTGATTGTTTATTCTTCCTGATGTGAAGGTAAAGGATTCCTGGGTGGCTGGTAGCCAACTCAGTACATGTTAGGTGTAGGGGAGGAATAGAGGGTTAAAATTATTATTTTTTATTTTTTATTAACATTAAATGTTGTGATTTAATTTCCATATCCTGTTATTCTTAAGGGTGATTATACTCTGTTTAGAGTGACACCATAAATGGTGTCAAAAGAGGGAATTCTAAAATTTCCCTTTAAAAATCTTTAATCACACCCTAGAGTTTTAATAATCTTGTGTTTTGTGTTCACTCTAGGGATAATCCTGTGTTTTATGCTTTATTAATCAAGTTAACCATGTGAATGTTTGTCTTTCCTTATGTGAAGGTTTGAACTTCTTTGATGACTGGTAACAGTTTGCAAGTTGGGTGTAGATTGAAGGATTTTTATTATCAAATTGTCTATTAATAAAAGTGTTTATTTTTGTTTGTATTGTATTTTAATGAGTGACACCCTAGAGGGCGTCAAAAGAGGGAATTGTTGGGTTTTATTTTTCTCATAATTGGATCTGTATGTGATGGATAGCTTGGAAGGAATGCATTAATGAGGAGCACTGTACTGATATGGATTGTTTCACATAACAGGGTGGGGAACGTTGGGGGTAGGACAGATAAGACTTGTGTTTCTTGCAGATGCGAACACTCTCTCTTTGTATTCTGTGAAACTGTCCTTGAACATGGAGTACAGTGGGATGATGTCTTTCTGGGTGCTGACTCCGCAGGTTATCATAGCAACTATGTCTAGTAACAAATGGAGTGCCGAGGAGTTGGGCCCACCCCTGCGCCAACGGATTGGCTGGACCACACTCAGTCCTTTGCTCTGGTTGGCCAACAGAAGAAGTGGAGGATTTCTGTCAGAGTATTTTAAGAAGAACTTAGAACAATGGATTAGTTAACTGAATGCCCTGCGTGGTATTTCAGTGGACCCGTATATACGAACCTTCATACTTATCATACATACATTTTGCATATAATAAATTTAGCTTGGATTGAATATCTCTTGATTATGTTTTCTCTTATTCCAATACCAGATTTGAATTACGCAATTTCTAACACTAGCCAATTTATATCACACTTTTGTAAAACCTAAATGTAGCTATACCAGCTAACTTACCAATGAGGAAATACTGTTCAAACGAAAGGCACACCATTGCGACTTGATAAAGACGTCAGAACTCTACGTTGTCACGATACATTAATACTGATACTTGCCAACTATCATGTCAACTTGCTTTTAAACACACTTATTTGTAAATGCTGTGTCTGTTGTTTAGCTAGTTAGCTAGCAAGATGGGTAGCATATTTTTCTTCAGTGAGGTTTATTGGCGGTTGGCATCCAACGTTAAGGTGCATTACCGCCACCTACTGTACTGGAGTGTGGGACAGACTGGGAGAATCTAAATCCTACCATAAAAAATAAAATAAAAATGTAACCTTTATTTAACCAGGTAAGCCAGCTATCGGCCCCGTTGCTCATGACAAGCATATCAAGCAGGGTGAGGTCACAAACATCATATCCGGTCTACAGTAATGTCGTAATGTCATGACTGGAACAAATTGCAAAAATCTCTGAAGCTGGAGACACTTATCTCCCTCACTAACTTTAAGCATCAGTTGTCAGAGCACCTTACCAATCACTGCACCTGTACACAGCCCATCTGAAATTAGCCCGCCCAACTACCTCATCCCTATATTGTTATTTATTTTGCTCATTTGTACCCCAGTATCTCTATTTGCACATCATCTCTTGCACATCTATCATTCCAGTGTTAATACTAATTGTAATTATTTTGCACACTAGCCTATTTATTGCCTTACCTCCATAACTTGCTACATTTGCACACACTGTATATATATTTTTTTCTGTTGTATTTTTGACTTTGTTTTGTTTTACCCCATATGTAACTGTGTGTTGTTGTTTTTATCGCACTGCTTTGCTTTATCTTGGCCAGGTCGCAGTTGTAAATGAGAACTTGTTCTCAACTGGCTTACTTGGTTAAATAAAAAAATATTGGCCCCGTTCAAATGATTTGAAAATGCATATTTTCTTCCCTAAAGTATGACTGGAAACCATTGAATTTAGTATAACCGGTCTGAAATATTAGGAGGTACAGTATACAAATTAACTTAACTGGCCTACTCACACCCTTGCAGTTCACATTTTGCTGTAATAGATTTTTACAATGCAAGGTCATTGGAACACTTGAACATAACATTTTACTGCAGATCCTCTACTTATTAATCCCACGATTGGACAATGGAGATGTCTCCATACTTACACAGAAACATCATACATCAGAGAGACTGAGCACTGATGGCTGGTGAAACAAGCACAACCCATTACTTACAGAGAAGCAAATGGATTCAATAGAATAGACTTTAAACCCATGGAATCAAAAAACAATACATGATCAAAAATCCAATGCAAAGTCAGTTTTATGTGAATAATCTGATAAACACTATTATGCAATATGTACAAAATATGCATAAAAAGCAAAGGAACTATACAATCATGGAGGTCTGTAAGAAAAGCCATGAAGTGTATATCATTAATTGGGGTCACACACTGGAAATAGACTTTCTCTTTGCACCATTGCCCCTTGTGGGGCATGGGAATATACACAGCCATGGTCACACAAGTCATTTTTTTTCCAAACCAGTGTCCAGGCCATGTTATCCAAAGGTCCTTTGCACAGTTTGTATCAACAGAATCTACAGTACACCATCACCAGAAGCACAAGTTCCATGGGGATGTTGTGGGATCATCTGTAGATTTTCTCAGTTCAAGGACAATTGCTCCAAGATGCTGTTGTATCCTGCACCATCATCCAAAGACCAGGTGCAGTGTCATACAAAACTCATTTAGTTCCAGTTATGCTCAAATGACTTGGACTGACCATTAAAATGTAGGCCATCTGACATTACCCTGGACAGAACAGACTTGGCTCCTACTAAGGTTTACATCTTTGTCCCCAGTATTGGAATATTTAACAACAAAAAAAGTTTTCATGGAATTGTGTTTTAAGGTTTCAGACCATGTATCAAGTTCATAGTCGGTTTAATCTGTACACCACAAAACAAATGTGCCAGCACCCAACTTTTATTTAAAAATGGAGTCTAGATCACATTTACCATGTAGTGGACAGACATTGGACCCTACTGCCCAGTCTAGTTTTCAAGCCAATGAACCACACATTAGACTGGACTGTTCTGATGAATGTCCTGGAGGGTTGAATCTGGTAAGCATAATATTCATAAGAAGTCAAGTTTACAAAAATATAACGTACTATTGTTACGAGAACTCATGCATACCATTTTGTACATATGTTAACAAAACCTTTACCTGTTCTTGGTCCCACAAACATCGTTGTTCCCTCTGTGTCTGATTCCTGCAAATGAAACCTCAACTCAATAAAACATCAAGTGGAACCCTCGAGTCAATAGAAATAACTGAACAATTTCTGTCATCTATCTCCTTATCACAGTGAGTAATATATAAAATACAGGGGGGGGGGGGGGGGGGGGGGTGCGCACATGAACATACCTCTATAGGCATTTGTAGGCCTTTATGTACATCTGTAGGTTTTTGTGTAGAAATACAATAATTAGCGTTGAGACAAAATAATCAATATCGTCATATGATCGGTAGGCAGTGGTATTGTCAGAATTGACAAAAACTGGATATTTCTCACTGTTCATCTAAGCCAGGGATGGGCAACTGGTGGCCCTCGGATCAATTTCCCCAAAAAACTAACTTTGATTAATTTTTTTAAAGCTCAGTCAGGGTCTCAACTTACTGTTGTAAGTTAGAATAGTAGAACACACAAGATGCAATTTTGAAATTTGGTTGTGCAATTATCCCATGTCAGCAAAATATTTCTAGATACCTAAATTAGCTGGCCGCTAAACTATCTAAACTTGTTATCATGGTCGAATTACCGACCAGGGGGCCCTCATTGAATTTGTTAGTCAGTCTGACTCAGATATCATATTAAACACTGCCAACATTTCCCTCCGCCCCATGGCAAAATGTGTAGAATTACAGCAAGCTTGCTATAAAACTGCAACATTTTCTCTACACCCTAAAACGCAACAAAATGTCACATCGCTGTCAAGAGGAGGGCCACTAAAATGTTTTCCTTGCAATGTGTCTGTGTGGGGGGGGTGTTGCCCATCAAAGTTGCCCATCCCTGATCTAGGCAATTAAAACAATAACTATTAGAACTGATAATTCCCCTCCCTCCAAAATCATCTTACCAGATAGATATTTTCTTATAAATATAGTTACTGCAATCACAGCTAGTACCACCACCACAACAGCAGATATTATTTCAGCTATGGGAAGGGAGGTCTGCGGTCCACATTCAGAGTTGGATGAATGAGTTCCAGGTTTAATTTGCTGAAGCTTCAAGGTATCACATCTATAATAAGAGAAATGGACCATTGGTAATCGACAATTTGATAATCTAACTTTGTTTTACATTATGAAAACTGTTAGCGTATTGCAGTATTTAGTTTATATTTTGAAGGAAATAACCATTTGCATGAGCCACACTTACTGTGTGTGTGGCTGGCAGGATGTAAATGATCCATTTGAATAAGTATCACCAATGCAGTCAGCACACACAGTATCTGTAGATGTTGTTCCTGCATAAATACATGTTGAAATGTTAATTAAAAATTGCATTTAATTTTTCCCCTACTAATTTAATTCCATTAACTGTAATGATTATTCACACTGAAGTTAACTTGACTCAAATGAATTATGACAACACAATTCGTTTTATGAGTGAGACAGAAGACCAACCTGTGTGGCTGATGTATTGACCAGGTTTACAGCTGCTGTGTCTCTGGGCTGCTCTACAACCATCCTTAGTTGGGTCTAGACAGTAGAACCCCTCCAGTGTCCCACAGACAGTGTCTGATGAAGGTCTACATGGCTGCTTTACCGTTAAGCCAAAGCCTGGGTCACAGTTGTTGGTACACAGTTTGCATGCTGTAAGACCATTGGGTTCATCAAGGAAAGTGGAGTCGGTACAGGGGACACAGGAAGCACTTGTAAATTCTGTACAGTGTTTATGTACCCGGTTTCCTGTGGGATAGAAGGTCAGTGTCATGGATTGATTGGTATTGCAATGTATTTTCTTCATAATAATCCATATTGTATACAGAACTGGTACTTACCTGGTGAACACATTGGACAGCACTTATCAACTCTTCTGTACTCTGCTCTACCACATGCGATAGAGAGCTCAATGTTTAGAAGCGTCAAAATGATTGCTAGGTCTATCTGTAAATAGAGAAAATTAACACATTAACCCTGTTGAAAAATGGGGGAGGGGGGGGGGTCACACATTGGCAAAGCAGGGATGAAGAGAGTTTGAGGTTAGAGTAGAGATGTGAGAGGAGGAGATTTCAGATTGAGGAGCGATTGACAGTTTCAAATTGAGAGAAAGCATAGTTAAGATTTCCATGTTTTTATTATTCAGGAAATAAATGTTTTATTATTATTATTATTTTTTTTTGTGGGGGGGTAGATCAGCTTAATATTGCAGATAGATTGTAACTTCCATCAATGTAATTGTCTGCATCACTTCCAATCCCCCATGTTTTTTATATACACTGCTCAAAAAAATCAAGGGAACACTTAAACAACAGAATGTAACTCCAAGTCAATCACACTTCTGTGAAATCAAACTGTCCACTTAGGAAGCAACACTGATTGACAATACATTTCACATGCTGTTGTGCAAATGGAATAGACAACAGGTGGAAATGATAGGCAATTAGCAAGACACCCCCAATAAAGAAGTGGTTCTGCAGGTGGTGACCACAGACCACTTCTCAGTTCCTATGCTTCCTGGCTGATGTTTTGGTCACTTTTGAATGCTGGCGGTGCTTTCACTCTAGTGGTAGCATGAGACGGAGTCTACAACCCACACAAGTGGCTCAGGTAGTGCAGCTCGTCCAGGATGGCACATCAATGCGATCTGTGGCAAGAAGGTTTGCTGTGTCTGTCAGCGTAGTGTCCAGAGCATGGAGGCGCTACCAGGAGACAGGCCAGTACATCAGGAGACGTGGAGGAGGCCGTAGGAGGGCAACAACCCAGCAGCAGGACCACTACCTCCACCTTTGTGCAAGGAGGAGCAGGAGGAGCACTGCCAGAGCCCTGCAAAATGACCTCCAGCAGGCCACAAATGTGCATGTGTCTGCTCAAACGGTCAGAAACAGACTCCATGAGGGTGGTATGAGGGCCCGACGTCCACAGGTGGGGGTTGTGCTTACAGCCCAACACCGTGCAGGACGTTTGGCATTTGCCAGAGAACACCAAGATTGGCAAATTCGCCACTGGCGCCCTGTGCTCTTCACAGATTAAAGCAGGTTCACACTGAGCATATGTGACAAACGTGACAGAGTCTGGAGACGCCGTGGAGAACGTTCTGCTGCCTGCAACATCCGCATGACCAGTTTGGCGGTGGGTCAGTCATGGTGTGGGGTGGCATTTCTTTGGGGGGCCGCACAGCCCTCCATGTGCTCGCCAGAGGTAGCCTGACTGCCATTAGGTACCGAGATGAGATCCTCAGACCCCTTGTGAGACCATATGCTGGTGCGGTTGGCCCTGGGTTCCTCCTAATGCAAGACAATGCTAGACCTCATGTGGCTGGAGTGTGTCAGCAGTTCCTGCAAGAGGAAGGCATTGATGCTATGGACTGGCCCGCCTGTTCCCCAGACCTGAATCCAATTGAGCACATCTGGGACATCATGTCTCGCTCCATCCACCAACGCCACGTTTCACCACAGACTGTCCAGGAGTTGGCGGATGCTTTAGTCCAGGTCTGGGAGGAGATCCCTCAGGAGCATGCCCAGGCGTTGTAGGGAGGTCATACAGGCACGTGGAGGCCACACACACTACTGAGCCTCATTTTGACTTGTTTTAAGGACATTACATCAAAGTTGGATCAGCCTGTAGTGTGGTTTTCCACTTTAATTTTGAGGGTGACTCCAAATCCAGACCTCCATGGGTTGATACATTTGATTTCCATTGATACATTTGTGTGTGATTTTGTTGTCAGCACATTCAACTATGTAAAGAAAAAAGTATTTAATAAGATTATTTCATTCATTCAGATCTAGGATGTGTTGTTTAAGTGTTCCCTTTATTTTTTTGAGCAGTGTATATACTCCCCTTTATTACTTTTAAACCCCGCCATCCTTTCCCTACTTGGAGTAAACTAGTGAACAACAATGCCCAGGCCTCTACTTCCAGCAAATACTTACTATCTACACCTTATGGACACATTCAATTTTACAATAATTAAATTTTATTTGTTTTGCTCCTGAACTCTCAACCTCTCCGATCATTTTCATGATGTCCATCCGATTTGCTTCTATATGCCATATCTTTCTAACTGTGCTCTTTCCCAAAAGCTCATTTTGGACACAGTATGCTTACTTATTAGTTATCTTGTTATTATTTATTGTTATTTGTTATTAGTCCCATCCTTCAACTCCATTCAATACCTCTCATCTATCTTTTAACACCATCCATATAGGATTTCTATTTGCCATACAGTGGGGAGAACAAGTATTTGATACACTGCCAATTTTGCAGGTTTTCCTACTTACAAAGCATGTATAGGTCTGTAATTTTTATCATAGGTACACTTCAACTGTGAGAGACGGAATCTAAAACAAAAATCCAGAAAATCACATTGTATGATTTTTAAGTAATTAATTTGCATTTTATTGCATGACATAAGTATTTTATCACCTACCAACCAGTAAGAATTCCGGCTCTCACAGACCTGTTCGTTTTTCTTTAAGAAGCCCTCCTGTTCTCCACTCATTACCTGTATTAACTGCACCTGTTTGAACTCGTTACCTGTATAAAAGACACCTGTCCACACACTCAATCAAACAGACTCCAACCTCTCCACAATGGCCAAGACCAGAGAGCTGTGTAAGGACATCAGAGATAAAATTGTAGACCTGCACAAGGCTGGGATGGGCTACAGGACAATAGGCAAGCAGCTTGGTGAGAAGGCAACAACTGTTGGCGCAATTATTAGAAAATGGAAGAAGTTCAAGATGACGGTCAAATCACCCTCGGTCTGGGGCTCCATGCAAGATCTCACCTCGTGGGGCATCAATGATCATGAGGAAGGTGAGGGATCAGCCCAGAACTACACGGCAGGACCTGGTCAATGACCTGAAGAGAGCTGGGACCACAGTCTCAAAGAAAACCATTAGTAACACACTACGCCGTCATGGATTAAAATCCTGCAGCGCACGCAAGGTCCCCCTGCTCAAGCCAGGGGCTGTCGCTGGGCAACACAGACTTTCAACTCCCTCCAAAAATTTTCTATGGGGTTGAGATCTGGAGACTGGCTAGGCCACTCCAGGACCTTGAAATGCTTCTTACGAAGCCACTCCTTCGTTGCCCGGGCGGTGTGTTTGGGATCATTGTCATGCTGAAAGACCCAGCCACGTTTCATCTTCAATGCCCTTGCTGATGGAAGGAGGTTTTCACTCAAAATCTCACGATACATGGCCCCATTCATTCTTTCCTTTACACGGATCAGTCGTCCTGGTCCCTTTGCAGAAAAACAGCCCCAAAACATGATGTTTCCACCCCCATGCTTCACAGTAGGTATGGTGTTCTTTAGATGCAACTCAGCATTCTTTGTCCTCCAAACACGACGAGTTGAGTTTTTACCAAAAAGTTCTATTTTGGTTTCATCTGACCATATGACATTCTCCCAATCCTCTTCTGGATCATCCAAATGCACTCTAGCAAACTTCAGACGGGCCTGGACATGTACTGGCTTAAGCAGGGGGACATGTCTGGCACTGCAGGATTTGAGTCCCTGGCGGCATAGTGTGTTACTGATGGTAGGCTTTGTTACTTTGGTCCCAGCTCTCTGCAGGTCATTCACTAGGTCCCCCCGTGTGGTTCTGGGATTTTTGCTCACTGTTCTTGTGATCATTTTGACCCCACGGGTTGAGATCTTGCGTGGAGCCCCAGATCGAGGGAGATTATCAGTGGTCTTGTATGTCTTCCATTTCCTAATAATTGCTCCCACAGTTGATTTCTTCAAACCAAGCTGCTTACCTATTGCAGATTCAGTCTTCCCAGCCTGGTGCAGGTCTACAATTTTGTTTCTGGTGTCCTTTGACAGCTCTTTGGTCTTGGCCATAGTGGAGTTTGGAGTGTGACTGTTTGAGGTTGTGGACAGGTGTCTTTTATACTGATAACAAGTTCAAACAGGTGCCATTAATACAGGTAACGAGTGGAGGACAGAGGAGCCTCTTAAAGAAGAAGTTACAGGTCTGTGAGAGACAGAAATCTTGCTTGTTTGTAGGTGACCAAATACTTATTTTCCACCATAATTTGCAAATAAATTCATAAAAAATCCTACAATGTGATTTTCTGGATTTCTTTTTCTCAATTTGTCTGTCATAGTTGATGTGTACCTATGATGAAAATTACAGGCCTCTCATCTTTTTAAGTGGGAGAACTTGCACAATTGGTGGCTGACTAAATACTTTTTTCCCCCACTGTACATCATTGGTGTATCCTATCTGGTGCCAAGTACTGCTGTAGCCTGAAATTATGCCAAGCTACTAAGCTTACAAAACCAAAAACGTTTAACTTACCGTCCATATCGAGCTTTGAGACCGAGCCATGGTTCTCCAATCCTCAACATCTCAGTGGAAGAAGGTCCACCACCCTGGATTCTTACTTTTGAACTATCACAATGGCAACACCTCTGTTGTCGTCCTTCCTCATGTAGACCTTGAGAGTCACACACTAATACAATTATTGGAAAAGTTTAATACCATACAATATTTAAATATTTGCCGTACAATATCTAACAAATGTTAAATTAGAACAGATCATTTTTGGTTCAAGGGAATTTTATCGTATATGTCAATGTTATGCCAACATATAGAATGTAATGCCGACAATATAATAATAATAATAATAATAATATGCCATTTAGCAGACGCTTTTATCCAAAGCGACTTAGTCATGTGCGCATACATTTTTATGTATATATAGAATGTAATGCCAACAATATAAAATGTAATGCCAACAATATAGAATGTAACGCCAACATATAAAATGTAATAGCAACATACTAAAACCTAATGCTGTTCTCCAATCGCCAAGCAACCAAAATGCCTTCTATCACACAGTGATTTGTAGTACAAATGCTGGACTCTGATAACCAACTAAATGTATGTTCTTCATTTAAAGGGTAGAAGGCATGAGTTTTTACTCACCAG